GCGGCCCGCGCCCATTGCCCCTCTCGATGTCGCCTTGGAGCCCCGTCAATGCCGCGCGGGAGAGTCGCAGTACCGATGACGTCACGCAAAGCACCGGTGACGTCACCGATTGCGTGGGCTGGTCGTAGGCTGTTTTTGCTGTTCGCAGATAGGTACTGCGAGTGGTTGGCGCCGTAGCCCAGCGCATACGATCAGCTCTTGCAGCCGGTGTTTTCACCTTCCGAATGATTGAGAATATGGCGGAACGTCGGCTCATTTCGGCCGGCGCCCTGCCAGGCGACTGATCAGCGGACGTTGTTTTTGTGCGGCGTCTGACGCCGACGAGTCTCTCCGACGAACCCCGTCGGCGACGACGGCGGCACGTTTTCAATATCGGAGCGGCACCGCATAAGTCGGCGGCGGAGCGTCGTCGCCGCCGACGAGGACGTCGCGTTGTGACGTCTAGTCACGTGCCGCGCCGGTATTTCGCTCCGCGACGCGCCGTTGAACGGGCGACGGATCGAGCGTCGCAATCGACAGCGACACGGCCCAAACGACGCGACGATCCGGGCTTCCGGGGGAGATAGAAGCAGTCGGAGACTTGGAGAGGGAGTACTAGTAGAGCTTAGCTGCAAGCTAGCAAGGTGAAAGAGCCACCTTACGAACGGTGACGCTAGTCGTTAGTATCGTGGCCAGCCCGTATCGTTCCCGCTCGCAGCCCGTACAACTCGTATTGATGGTTATTACGCTGATTGGAGGCATGTTTCTGCACGGACAGCTGATCTGATCGTGTGTTCCGGATTAATCCCATGCTGCCGGTGTCGCTACTGCCGGTGCCGCCGTCTCCGTCACCACAATAATCACCGTTTAATGATGCCATTCATTACGGTCTCTGTCAGTTGCTACTGCTGCATCGGCTGACCGTATCTGGATATCACGCGGCGTCACGTGACCTTGGGGTCACCGGTCACCTGACATCCTTGCTGGTACTCGCGCCGCCATTTTCTGTCCATTACCACCTGCACGTCCCCCCTCCCCTCGGCCCCGGGAAGCGTTACGCCTCACCCATGGCGACCACCACATGGGGTCCGTTTTCCGCGCCGTTGCCGGGTCGCCGGTGTTTACCTGCGCCATTGTTGTCTCAGTGCCGCGCCGGGACCGCCGAAGTGGACCAAGGTCGTGGCCATGCCCGACCGGTGAGGGCCAACGAGCACGCGGACCCTGTCTCCGCGTCGGCCGCCCGCCCGGCCGGCTGATCGGGTACCAAGCCGAACAGCGAGCGACCGGGCCAGGAAATTGGAACGGGCCGAGACATAAATGTGTCAACATGCCGTAGTATTTCATCCAAAGTTAAATTTATTGCATGCAAAACATGATTTAGGTGGTCTGTATTGCCGTGAAATCTTTAGCCCCAATAGGTACTGTTGATTTGGGCATCGAAGCTGCGGAATGCATATTTGCGTTGCGGTTCGATGCAGCATCCCTTGATGCATCATAACAATTAATAATCATTACGATTTGAATAATAAGTCAAGCTGTAACATTAGCTCTGGCCAGGCCGAACTGAACTTTTCCTTGGCCTATTTATCCATCGGCTCCATTTTGTGAGAATCCCTGAAATTAGTCACCGCTGGTCTGCGGCGCTTCAAACCTCCCATCAGTCCGTTGCGTCACGCTTCATAACAGACTGGCGCATGCCTCCCAGCTGTGGCCTATGGAAATGGAGAGTGAATCGACCTCCAGCGGTCGTCCCGCCGCCGGCCGACCGCCGCGGCCGGCCGCTGGCCGCTTTCTCCCGTGATTTTCTCCCCGACTCCAATGACGCAGACATGTGGGCCGATTGGGGATGGAGGGGGGGGGGGGGGAATCAGCTGACTGGTCTCAGGGGAGGCGTGGTGAATACGTGGCTCGCTGGAACATGATCTGCGCCGCATGGAGGGAGCTTACGTCAACCTTCACTGGGAGCTCGGTGATTGGCACAGGTGAAGGACAAGGGGCAGAGTAGGCTGAAAAGTTGCGCATCGGGGTGGAGTTAGCTTTACATCAGGCCGAAAGGTCTTCATCCGAACGCGATGAAGTAGAAGTCGCTACAATAGTTAGATAAGAAAACCACAGTATTCTTGAAATTTTTCACATTGGTCGCATTTCTATTTATCTCCTTTTCAAATACGTTATATTCCTTTTCCATGCATCTTATATTTACTCAACAAGCATTTTTCCATTAGCAATTCAATTCAGGTCAGCATCGACCCGACTCCGAATTCCGTAGAACCCATGGAGTCAAATACTGTAATTCAAATGGACTGCACTCTGCCGCTTCGCTGCTGCCAGCTCCAAGAGACTCGCCATTAAGGCTAATTACATACGCTGCAGGCCACCGCGGCTTTCATGTAGCTTTTGAAACTGCTTTCCTAATAAGTGGACTCAGCAGAGTTAACCCGAAGTCGTTTGTCCATCTGCTTTTCTGCTCGTTGGCGTAGCCTGCACCGTGCTGCGGGGTGAATTGTTTGAATTTAAGGCGAATGGTATGGATTGAGCTTACGACAAACCATTAGGTAATCAGTCTCAATTGAGCTTGCAGCTGGTTTCAGTATTTTGGTATCGATTCTAATCGCTAGAGATTCCTTAAGACGCACAATAAAGCAGTAAACCTATTAGATATGCTGCTCAGACAGCATATTTCTCTGAAGGACACCTCTGGATGGCTATTACACGCTGTTTCGCTGTTAGGGGCTTGTTACAATACTGAACCGTCCGATAAGCTGTCAAACTGTCAGGTTTACCGGGGCGGTTGTCAGAATCTACCATGAGATAAGTGCGCATCAGATCCCAGAAAAGCTATCACGCGAGAGATGCCGGTGAACAGTTACAAACATAATGAAACTATAATGCGTCAGTATAGGTAAAAGAAGTTGGGATGTATTGAGTTTTAAGACGGTATTGCAGCGGTTTTTTAGTCAGTGGAGTCCTGAGCACTTCTTTGCAGCTGTGCTTGACCATGCATCCCTGCGTGTGTGGTCGATCTTTGTTGTCTTGATGCCAAGGCCTGTGTTTGAACAGTGCCTGTGGCTAGACCTGTGTTTCCACCAGAGCCATTCCTGCAGCATCTATCCCAGTATCCGTGGTCTCCTGTGCAGCACCTATACCTATATCGTCAGTGCCTGATAGCCATGTCTCCACCTGCACCTGATTGCGCCGTGCCTATTGTTCCTGCAATAGCGGCGCCTGTTGTTCCTGATAGCGGCGCCTGCGGCTGCAGCCTGTACCCGCCAGCCCTGCCTGCTGTTCCTGATAGCAGTCTCTGCTGCTGTACCTGATAGCCATGTTTCCACCTGGTCCTGATAACCGTACCTGCCGCTACCCCGGTGCGCCGGCACTCACTAATGACCGGCGCCGCTACCAGCCCCCGCTGGGTGGCCGACAATCCGAGCCGACGCTAATGACACGGGCCGGCGACACCGGCTGTTTTCACCATGCACGGGTAATGGCTCGCACCGGCTGCCCAGATAGAACCCGCCGCGCAACACTCCGCGAGATAACGCGGCGGCGTAACTAGCCGCGTATCTGACAGCTATCGACACGCCTGAGTTACGGCGCTGCTCTGGTGTCAACTTTTTGGCCCCGTGCGGCATGATTTCTGGACGGGATCAACGTGACTTGGCCGACTTCAAGGGATGGATGTTGCATGTATGTACGGGTATGCTTGTTGACATAATGTCATAGTGAATCGGCCTTTCAAACATATTAGAAGACTGTTCGCATGATATTCGTAATCGTGAAGTCAGATTTTTACCTTTTTTATCTGGGATACACCTTGCCAGTGAGTGCTCTCAGCTCGGGAAGGGGACCTGCTTTTTATCAAAAAGCTGTATCATTTCACATTCATGGTCTGGGACTTTGTGCCTGGGAAGATGTGTCCGCCTTTGATACTTATTCGCTGTCTGTAGTTTTCTGAATGCAAACAAAGCTGGCTTGTGCGCCACATAGGTCATTATCGTAAATCACTTCTGACGTTTGATACATGTTCCCAAAACACTGACGAAAGCACGCAGAACACATGACACGGCTCAGAACCGCATCCAAATACCGTGCGCTACACTAACCGTTCGGTAATGGTTGCTGTGTCGGATCGCGTGCCCATTGCTCATGGTTAATGGTCCATTAACAGTGCCGACAACTTGGTTAAGCGGTCCACAATATGCCCCGAAATGCTGCTTCAATACTCATGCTTACGTCACAACGCGTCAAATGACGTCATATACATAATGCAATGCTTCTGTATTTTGCTGTCATTTTTGGTGTCAGGAATGCCGCTGTGGATGTTGAACTGAGGCTGTGGCAAGTATGTAATTGTAGAGACATTTGAGTTTGCGCACTTACTGGAAACTGAGCAATGCTGCGTTATATAAGTCGCCCGTTTCTTGAAACTAACAACATTGTTCGCGTGCAGGCTTGAGGACGACGTCTGTAGTTCTACACAGATTCGCTCTTATTCATGTTAAGTACGCACTCCGTGTGCAATGTTGACTCACGTTATCAGAGTTGTTACGAGTAACACCATGCTATGAAAATTATCGATTTCTTGTTACAACACTGAAAACAAATCTACTCGTATATGGAGAGTAAAGGTCATTTTACCAGCCGCTAATGAGTTTCAACCGCTGGTTTACTCGTGTATGAAGCATTCCAAGCCCTGAGTTCTGGTTTACTCATTACAAAAACTCATACAAAGAAATCAATGACCTGCCATCCATGAGTAAGGCGGCCCCGAACGCATGAAATAATGCTTGTGTGTCAGGAAATGCGAGTTTCTTGACTCATGTATTGCGCGTAATTATCGTACTCACGAATCATGCATTCACTAAATCTGTAGAAAGCGAGTTCTGGAAATGAGTTATGAGTAAATAAAATCACAAATCGTGCGTAAAAAGCGTACTCACAGCCGACCGGTTAGCAAACTCGTTTTTGACGTGTTTCTTTACCGATGGATCAAAGGCCGCCTCGCCGCCATTTTTGTTCCGGCCGGATCCGTGTGTGCAGGGGGAGTCGCGTGCTGCAAGTTAAGGTGAGTAAAATACCAGATATTTTGCTTTATTAAGTGTATTGTGCGTGGAAAATACCGGAGAATTAAACGACAGCTCTCTTTGCTAACCTACATGCAGGCCTGGGACATTAATATACAGAAAAGGGGCCAGGAAGTTCACATGTGTGGCCCCACGTCCACGTCATACTGCAGTTTAGGTATCAGACTGCCTTTCAAGCAGCATATAATGAATTTATAGACCACTGTACATCCAGATCCAGGGTCACAGGCAGAATAGCTTACATTATTAATATGCACATAGCTAGGGTCATGCGTGTAGTGGCAAAATTGCATGCCAAAAGCTTCAGTGCATGTCCAGCGTAACATCTATAATCTATGTGCGCTAAATTAGAAAATGCATCAGGTTTTCAGACTTCAGAGCCTTAAAATTCAGGGTAAAAAGATAAAATTTTGACCTAAATTGATGGTTTATCACTGCTAAAGACAAAAAAAGCCAGTATACCATCCAAAAGCTATCTGTGACATGCCTATCAGAGGAATACCAAAATGTAAATAGCAAACAAATGGCAAAATATGCAAGTTCACAGGTGCCTAGCTATTATAAAAAAATTGATTTAGGTCGAAGGTGGGTAGGTTGGAATGCTGTGCTTGGTGTCTGGTGAAAAATGATTTTGAAATTGCTTATGAGCTGTTCTCAGATGAAATTTCACCACAAATATTCCTTGTGCAAATGACTCGCAGGCTGGCAAGTGTCCATGCCACATTGCAGTTTCCCATGGACGTTAACCCTCGCCCTGGCGGGGGGGGGGGGTCGATGCGACCCCCCTAAGGTTTTTCGAAGATAGCGTAAAAACGGCGGCGCCGCCAAATTCGGCACAGCCTATGGGACAGCCTTGTTACATATGACCTGAAAATTTCAGGTCCGGGTGACCTTGGGTCAGGTCAAGATTACTTTACTACTCACTAGGTCAGTCACTAGGTCACTAGGTCAGAAAAACCGGTACAAGGTCATGGTCAAATTTCAATTTTCTTTTTGCACCGTCCAACTCACAGTTTTGGACTGATTTCCTTCAAACTTTCAGGATGTGCTAAGTTCACCGAGTTGTATAACATATTGTTCGGGTTTTTTATGTCACTGACCTGAGGTCAGTTAGAGTCATTACGTCGTAATGTTAAGCCATATGGGAAAATACTAAATTCGGAAAATACTGGAGATATCCGCTTCGTTCTATCACTTTTGTGCTTTCAAACCACAGTACTTAACAGTAAGTCACTTGGAGCTTCTTTGTTTGGTGTACATATCCATGGGTAAGGTCAAATGAGGTCAACTGAGGTCAAATGACGTTTTTGTCAATAACTTGGCACACAATGACGCTAGAGCTTAAAAAATGGTGTGATTGTGTTCCTGGTGATCAGCCGAATCGAATTATATGCGATATGATGCAATTTGGTTAACTGGAGCTTAATTAATTAATCAAATTTACATAATAATTAAGAAAAAAAATTAAGTACACTTAAGCAAGCAAAAAGTATACCATTCGACGCCCCTTGACGTGCTGAGTTCACTGGTGTTTTTATTTTTGCTCTATCTTAATAAGATCAAAAGTGATAAGCGAAAACTTTTGACCTGTTTTCAGCGAAATTTTTGCATTTATACCCCCCAAAACCCTAAATATTGACCTAGAGCAACCAAATTTACACAGGGGCGAGAAATCCAGAGGGCCCACCTACCTACCAAATTTGGTGTTTCTAGGTGCCATAGGAGCCAATCGCGAGGGGGGGTCGCATCGACCCCCCACCCTGCCAGGCCGTGCTATGAAAAATGCCCTGTTACGTAGACAAACATGTTTTAAATTTTAATGCCCGCTTTTTAAACAAACCAGTAGAACGTATTGCAGCAAAATTAAACATTAAAAGTTGCAAAATCAGATGACATTTTCTCCCAGCACCGGTGCATTAGTTTGCTCTCAGGAAACTCTGTTCAAAATAGAATGGCTGACCGTAACTGTGTATTGTTGTGGCGTACATTAATAACATCCATTTGTTTGTTATTCAGAGTCCCAGCACCTCTGTCGATGCGGAGGTCACGGCCGCCACCGCCGACCCCGACGAGGGCACCAGCGCGAGCGGGCCGCCGGCGATGGACATTGAGGAGAGCTGGCTCGTTATCGGTGAGTATTGAGAGTGAATGTTCATTTGAATGACTACGGCTTCGCTCCGCTGAATAATATGTTGCCCTGCCCGTCGTCAAGGATGTTGTCCGGCCCTCTGCTAAATCTAATTTATTTAGCAGCATTTATGGACTTTGTGAACATTTTTGAGCGTTGCATGTTTGGAAATGAACTTGCCCTAGGGCTGGAAATTTAATTATATAACCTCATATTTTATCGAAATACCTCGGGTCTAATGACCCTCGGAACTTCGGCAAAAACTCGGTGACATAATTGAATTGTTCCCAGCCCCGGGTGTGTATATTTTCTTTTCTGCTCTCAAAGTTCCTGTTTTTTTTTTCACCTGACGGCTCGGAATAAAACTGTTACATCACTCGAGAGTAAAATATGCGTTACTCGACCCGAGGCAACTTGCTCGGGATATAACCATTAATAATATCGGAAATATTTGTTCTCGTTGCAGACGATGCAGTCGACCACCTGCTGCACCGCGCTGGCGAGCACGGAGCTGTGTTTCAGCCATCCCCAGTACCCATGGCCGCAAGTTCGAGCTGGCATGCTCTACGTGGAGAATGAGACGGTTGTCGAGTTCAAAGAGCTAACCTCGGCGGTCGACTTAAGTGACCAGCTGCCGGGACAGAGACTGACCAGCAGAGTTCTGTTGATGCCTCATACTTTTCTCTGTTTGTTTCTGTTTTCTGTTCCTCAAGTTTTTGTCATTATAACTAGTTGCAGTTGAATTAGCTTGTTGCAGTTCGTTTATATTTTGCTGCAGGGTGTCCCTTAAGTCTTAACCGTAGAGACGTGAAACGTTGGACGCTAATGAATGAGATACAATACAAGGCACTTTGATGTAAAGCACAGGCAGAGCTTTGGAGTCGGAAATGTATCAGTTAACCAAACCATTGAAACTGTGTTTGCGTATGACTATTGAAACTGCGTCTTTCACATGCTGGTTGCACGACCTTTCTATAGAATAAGAAATAACATAATCGCACATAAGACTGTGAAATAGAAAGCTGCTTGGTATAATAGGTCCGTGTCCTCCTTATGATGGGTTCCTATAGCTGGTCTGGTCTTGCAAACAGCTATAATCATTGAGCGTTACCGTCCACAATAGGTTGTCCAGCTTGCTTGTTCGTATGTGCATGAAATACAGATTTAACTTTGCTGTTCTCTTGACTTGTCATTCGTTCTAAACAGTACAAAATGAGCGCAGGGTTATTATTTTGTCAATTTTATGTCGCCCATGGCATGACAATAGGTATCCACGCACTTGTCGTTTTACAAATCATTCGATATCTTGTTGATTGTTCCTATAAAACGACCACGTTTCTGTGTTCGGTGTCATCGCTCGGTGTTAGTATTGCGGATAGTGTAACTATGGTCTTGTTGGATGTTCTTCCTCGTCTTGCATGCTATTTTGCACACGAAATAACACGCAAGATGGGAATGAAAATCTGATAAGTCGCGTTATCCGTAATATTAACAGCGGAATATCTACTCATCTCCTGCCGGTCAACCTTACCTATGACTGATGAGTAGGTTGACTGGTAAGAGGTGAGTAGATTGACCGGTCGCTGGCGCAGTCAAATAGGTGGTGTCCATAAAACCGCCCATCCATGAGTAAATTAACTCACAGAATGAAAGTAACGGAAATGAGTAACCAGCGATACATGAGTTTTCACAATGAGTAAGGTGAGTAGATTGACCGGTCGCTGGCGCAGTCAAATAGGTGGTGTCCATAAAACCGCCCATCCATGAGTAAATTAACTCACAGAATGAGAGTAACGGAAATGAGTAACCAGCTATACATAAGTTTTCACAATGAGTTAACTCATCGAGCGTGGGTAAATATGCATGAGTAAACGCACGTTTCATCGGAAAGTTGACCGGCAAGTGGTGAGTTGATTAACCGGTCGCTGGGGCCGTCAAATAGGTGGTGTCCATATAACCGCTCTTCCGTGAGTTTACTCACGAGAGAAGAGTAGATTTGTTTTCAGTGAACGCATTCATTTCTTGCTGCGTTCTGAGTACGACGTTTTCCTCCGAACACACATAATGACGATACGAGCCATTTTGTTTTACGGTACCTTTTAGCGCAGCGTATTCCGTCACGACAAAAATCACTATCACGGGGGCAATGGGTGGCGGTCACACAGCGTTTGACGTATCGTGATGCTCGTGACGTCCGTGACGTGACGGCGTGATTGCGTCACTTTCACCTGGTGATGGAGGTTCGCCGTAGATGGATGGGCTCTGTCTCACTGATGGTGACGGTCCGCCTCACTGATGGTGGCGGCTCCGTCTCCATCACCGGGTGATGGTGGTGTGACATCGACGAGGGCCTATCGAGAATGATATTGACCCTATGATTACGATTCTGTACGAACCGGCAATAGTTGTTTTTAGTAGCTTGCGGCATCCATCACATCCTATCCATCACCAATGTTTGTGGCTTTCCGAAGATAGAAGTTTCCGAGGCATTCAATTTAAATCATTTGGTTTATAGTTTGCTCTATTAAGTTTGAAGATGCAAAAGAGTATCATTTATTTGGTTGGGACTTACCAGAGTCCGCTGATGATATTCATATATGGGACCCATCCCCGGTCCATGGTGACCCATTTAGTCGGTTCTGCCTCATAAATCCTCCCGTTTAAACATTCATCTTAAAATTATTTATGAAACAATCAGTGAATATGTCACCAGTGCCCACTGACCTAAATTCTGCAAACCACATAAAACTTCTCGCTTGTGACCTTACCAGAACATTAAACAGGGGAACACACAACTCGTTCCCCCTTCCCCGACCTACTTCTTTCCGCCTAACGAACACCTTTTAAAGGCATTCAGCCACTATTTGACCTTCATTTCTCCATACCAGGCCTAGTCCTGTGTAAAATTGGGCAATTGATCCGGTCCCTATCCCCTGTCCTTGCCATCTGATAATGGAGAGACAGTGTGGCGCTCTTTTTTCGGTCGTATAAGCGTCGGCGGTTGTCTGTCGGCGATGGCCCGTCCCGTCGCGGCCACGGCTCGCTGGTGGTGTCATGCCTCGGCTCCTTCCTCAAGGCTGTTCCACTCGGCAGAACAGTGGCGGCCTGGCGCGGACGCGGCAAAAGCGGCGCAATATCACGGCTCGACGCACAGCGGACGGGATGGGCACGGAAAATGTCCAAAGATGCAGACGGAAATGAGGGTGAAGACGGGTTGAGAGATGGGGGACGGGGACGGTGACGGAACGGAGATGGAGACGGGACGAGAGAACCGGATGATATATACGGAGACGATGACAGAAATCGGAAAGATGACTGGGTCAGGGAGAGAACCGAGGTTGAGACAAAAAAGGAAGACATATACAGACGGGACGAAGGGTAAATGAAGGAAGAGAGATGAGCATTGATTAGTTCCTCGTGACGCAGAGGAAGCAAAAATCTCCAGTCCGAGACAAAAATGTAGTTTGAAGGAGACGTGAACCACTGTGGTATATTTGCTTCCATCCCTTCCTTAAATCCGCCTTATGCTGTTAATTTTTAAACCAGAACCTTTGATGGTGAGACACTGTCCCCAATATCCGGTTCTAACGCTTCATTCAATCCATCTTAAACATCCTATATTTACTGTATCCCGCTCACCAGAAAGCCTGAGGCAGCGCTGAGAATGCTGTCTTTCTATCTACCTGGCCACGTCATCCCACAAGCTTTGAAGTGCAGGTGGCGGTGGGTGCAGGCTTCGTGACGGGGCGGCCGGGTGAGGGCGCAGTCTTTGGACGGGTGAGGGCGCAGTCTTTGGACGGGTCTGTCGTGACGTGAGCGCTAATGGGTTGGGCGCGCCCTCTCCGAGATTGGCGGTGCTGTATTTAGGGCCTTGGGCAGTGCATAAGGGAGGGCGAGTGGAGGTGCAACTCGCACTGAGTAGACAGCGGCTGTGTGAACTTGTTGACTCTGGAAACTACACGGTGAAACTCATTCTGAAGGTGAACATCAGTCGTGTGGACGCTGGAAGGGCGATAAGTTGCTAGGTTATACCTTATCTAACATGGTGATGATGTTGTAGTGGGAAGAAGTGCGTCGAATTTAATGTCGATTCGTCGATGTGAGAAAAGATGGCTGTTGCAACAGCACGACAATGATATATGTTTGCTCAATTTTATGTCAGTTTTGTGATTTTTTCAAACACAACATCAACACCACAGAGGTAATCTTATCTCACTATTCATTTCTTGTTTTTGCATGTTCTGTTGCGCTCTGAACTACTATCCCGATGATATCACGCCGGTTCTGCAATCACGTATCGGCCAATCGGGCGTTTCAATTTGCCGTGACATGACGGGAGGGGCGCTACCCGTCGGTCCGGTTCACTCTGCAGGGACAGTGCTCTGGGCGGGCGACACCGGGTGACGTCATCACCGGGCGTTCTGACGTCATCTGGGACCCAACAGGTGTCACTGCTCCTCCCCCCGCTGCTAATGCAGAGAGGAGCGGGGGAAGGGGTATTGAAACATGTCCAGATTCGACCCGATGCAACTGAGTTGTCGCGGTCTGACTCGACCTGATCCGACCCTATTCGACCCAACTCGCAAATACCTACTTGACCTGACGCTAGCTTGACCGACATAAAAATTGCCTACTGCAATCATTTTTAGGCCTCGAAGTCGCCCACAAGTTTCACCAGCCATGCGGAAAAGACGTTTATGTTAAAAAAAAAACAAAGTATCAGACAGCCTAACTGATATTCTTCTTCATCTGCTATTTTTTCAAGTGATTGGGAAAACTCGTTGGTGATCATCAATTCAAACCTAAAAGTGATCGCAACCGGCGATTTTATGCTGCCTAAACTGGCATCCGACCTGTTCGACCCAATGCGACCCTACTCAACCTTCAGTCCAAGTCTGAGCCACTCGTCACGTGGTCATGCGGCACGATCGACCGTCTGTCACGTGACCGCCACAGATGGGCGTGGCACGAGCCCGATGAGCCGGCTCCGCCGTCTGCCGAAGGCGGGTAGATTGGTAACGTCGTCTCGAACAGGGATCAGGGAAGATTGGTGACCGGTCGTTCTCTGATCCGGGGTCTGATCCGGGCCGGCTGCTGGTCTGGTCCCCGATACACGGATCGAAGGAGATCTCAGCACTGGCTGTTTTATGGAGACGGTAGCTGGAGACTGATGAATCGGGCAGATTTGTTCAGATGGTTTGGAAGGGGGTTTCATTTGTTATGGACGAATGCCGATTCAACAACATTTATTTAAAGAGGACGACAAAATCACATGGCTGTCTGTGACTGATACTTATCTCAAATGATCCAGCTACTGCATTTTTGCAGTCAGCTTGATACATGCTGTCAATATGATATTGCTTTCCATAAATTCATTTTGCTTTTAATGTGACCGTGCTGATTTCACTTCATTTCATTTCAACTTCACTGGGCCCCACGTAAGCATCAAGAGCTGGAGCCCGTCTGAGCTCTTTAATCTGAAACGTCCCAGCATTATTTCTGAGGAAAGGGATTTAGGTTCAGTCGCTGCTGCCAACTGTATATCCTGTGAGGGCTTGTCCGACTTAGGAGTTGTGCAACCAAGTTCTCCATTGTGTGAACCTTGTCTTGTCCAAGAACCGAATGTCTGCCGTCCTGACTGATGAGGATTTTGGGTGTAGTTTGATGCTCGATTTTGCTCTGGGGCTTGTAGTGGCTTTTGAAAATTTATACAAACACTGGCATGCTACTCCCGAACCAATGTTTTGCATTCTCTACGATGCTAACAGGCTTTGAATTGAAGTCTTCCTCTTTCGCGATAGTGTCAAATCGTGTAGAGACCCCTTTTTATCACTTTGCTTAACCCTTTTCCTTAGTTTGATAGCATTAAACCATGCTCTTACAAATTAAGCCTGGGTCATATTTTTTACATTGATATAATGATTCTCTGGAGAAGAGGAGATGGTCATTTAAAGGCAATTTTAGCAGCTTAAATGGGCTATTTAATTTCATCCACGAAGCAAAGCACTCGACGCGAAACGCTCATCCGTTTCTCGGTAACAAATGATATAACGCTAGGATAAATGGATATCTTGCCATGAAATACGACCTTCTGGAAAATGTAGTTTGTTGGCGAATGTCCTCGCTCTTTTCCGGAGCGACCGGAACGCGGTCGTTCTTTTTTGCTCGTCTATGGCGGCGACCACTGCCGTACTCCGCGTCCGATTGAACCCGGGCTCGTGTTCTCTCTCTGTCGGCGGAGCTATTGATGGCCGTCATCCGTCTTGTACCGGACGGCGGCGTCTCGATGGCGTGTTTTTATGGCCACTGAACGACAGCGGACACAACGCATGGCCGCGGTAGGTACGTGATCGTGTATGCATTCAGGTGCTCGTATGTTAAAAGGGGAGAAGACTTTGTTTGACGCAGCCCCCACAGGGAGAAATCTGAGTGTCTTTGGTCGTAATGGAAGTGAGATTATCCAAAATGGATAGGATATCT